TTTCATATTTTCTTTGAGCTTCCCGAATTTTTGTTATACACTTGTTTCTTACTGATCTATGGCGTTCCATCGTACTTGCTATGCCAAGGCTGATAGCAACATTCCTCCTTTTGTCTTAGCAAACATCGAATATCCCGGTCTATCCAGGGAAAGCCGTGCTTCCTCTTCTTTGGGACTGTCCAGTGTATGTATGTTTGAAAAGAGTCCATATCTCTTGTACTGATGCCCTAAAGTCAATTTCCCGGTTTTCAACCGACGCTGCGTAGTTGATTGCCTCCATATCTGCCTTCCATATAGTAGGACAGACCGGTGCAATCTCAGCCATGAATATGAATAATATGACTGTATGAGCCCTTCTCCCTAGTGGTGAGAGGAAAGTCATTTGACCGACGTCATCACAGTGTGTGAAGACTAAATCGAAAAGAGAAGAGTAAGTTCATAATGTGTTGGAATAAAGCTAATACAATCGAGGTTTCCAACAGTTTACAATCGAATGACGTTATCGATGAACCTACTTCTAGGTTAACCGAGTCTATATACCGTGCATTGAATGCGTCTACTATAAGACTTTTACCTCTATTAAACCAGGGCTTAAGTTTGCTTAGAAGGAAATTATCTACTACACATTCTGGACTGCGATATACAACAACTAATTCACTATCTAACCTTCGAGAGGTAGCTTTTCTGAGTACTTTCAGAACCCACCTTTTGTCCTTTTCTATAAAGCTTACAGGCGTTAACTCCTAAAACTGTTTCTAGGAGTAGCTTGTTTGTTAAGGACTTTTTATGACTGAGGTCGTGTTGAAATCCAGCCTTTAGTTCCTTATCAGAAGATTGTCCTTATTTAAGAAGGATGACTGACCACTCGGCGAGGTCCGTCTTGACACGCTATGGAATCTTAGTCCCTAAAATCGTCTTTTCGATACAATCCGACTTTAGTTCGGCGTCAAACACAGAGGTTACGTTCTATTTCCTTACATTTCCTTTCCTAGGCGTGGCTGTGAGCCACTCATTTACCTTGTCTTATCTCTTGATCACTTCCTCTACACTGATCAGGTTTGGCTCCCCAATAGTTGGTGTTGCATTGGTATGTGAATCCAGAACTGAACCCGCAGATTCACATAACTCAAACTTTTATAGGTAGTTTCTTCTTCTTAGCGCGCTTCTTCTTTCTCCTTGTAATAATGCCTACATCCATATACTTATCTGCTTCCCTGATGGGGTCCACCCTTATTGTTTCATTTAGGTCCAGAGATGGGCTCATAATAACGCTCACATTTTCCTCAAAAACCGAACTCCGTTCATCTGCTGCTGTCCGTTTATCGGTCAATTTTTTAGCGGTGTTTAGCAGCTCGATCGTATCTAGAATCAACAGGGACTTAGTAAAACAACATTTTTTTCATAATCTTGATAATGGCTTGCAGCACTGTTTATTCGCAGCTGGTGTGAATTCGGTGCACATATTATGATACCACTTATTGCAGTTATCGCATTGCATCCCCTCACCGATCGGGAAATAGCATGCTGGTCTAACACAACGATGTTTCTATTGTGCCATAGATTTCTTTTATTTTTACATATAAATAAAAAAACGTCGAACTTCAGTAGTTACAGGAAGACCTTAACACATATGGATACGAACAATGCTCAAAGATATATTCAACGACGAAGAATATATACCAGTGCCTTTAGCTTTTAGGAATCTGTACTCGTATAGTACAGAGGATAAACTTCTCTAGAGAAAACGCGGTACTTTTGAAAATTACTTTAACTGAAAAAAATCAGTTAAAGCAAAAATAGTAGTCTTGATGAGTAATTTAACGATCAATACTATAAACATTACTCAGAGGAAAAATACTACTGTCCTTTTTGAATAGTGCATAAGAAAGTTTCACTTCATTTATGTTTTATGGCGTATAACATCAAATCTGGATAGGAAACTATTCCGAAGTGCACTGAAATGTATTTCAGTTCAGATTTATTTAGCATAGGCTAAATCGTGACATCGATAGTTAAATTAAAGTCATCATTGACCAAAGAAGTCATCAACGGTCCGTTAAAATGCGTTTAACATTGGCGTCAGTTGATTTTTCACCATTCTCTGAGAATGATATTTTTGAGGAATTATCAGTTCAAATGAAGATACCAAAGTTTGTCTGCTTCTGGTTTTGCTTGCGTATACATAATGGCCCTATACTTTGAGCTACTGAGCTGTCATGATTTCTTCAAGTTAAATTTATCGATCGAAAACCTCCCAAGTTCATCTCTAAATATACTGTTGACCTTTCGTGCCTTAAAGTAACCCTCGTGCTATTGATAGAAGAAACCAGAGAAGTAGTGAAGGCAAGGTAAAAACGGTAATCCCTTTCAAATCTGTCCGCCGTTTCGTTTCAACGACCTTGAACGCGCTGACTGGAAGCGGGCATTCCGTATTTCAATTGCCGTGTGTGTGTTGGGTCCTATGAGTATTAAATGTTTCCATATATAAGTCATCTTTTGATGCATAATAAACACTAAATAACTGCTAAGAGCATTAACTGAGTATTTTCTGTTTTGTAGTGCACACTTTAGCTCTGTTGTTCCTTCGAAACTTGATCTGTGGTCCTAAGTGCTGTAGTGAAAGTCAACAGCTATATATAATTTGTTGATAAGGTCCAGAAAACAACGTAAGAAAGATAAAATAACGTAAAAGGTTATAGATGCGCCTAGTTTTTGTGAGTTAAGACGAAATGTCAACTGAAGGGTAAGTCCTAAATATTTGTTGTTCTTCCTTCAGTTAATTTTTTTCAAGGAATAACCTTTTTTTAGTAACTATTGTATGTTGTCTCTAGTGCTTCATGCTCAAGTGAAATTTCAGTGAACGTAAGCGACGCGTTCCAACGTATTATGCTGAACAAGAGATTCGGAAGCTGGATTGAATTAGATAATGCGCTAAAGGATTTCCATAAAGTATGATAGGATAAATCTATGTTTTCTCAGATGACCCATACACACTACGTTCACGCAGAAAGTAGATTGTTGAAGGATGTGAGATATAAATACTTGTTCGTAGTGTTTCGTTGCACGTTTGGTCGTAAACGTAAATCAGAAGGTCTGAATGTGAATAAAAACCGTGAGGACTCTAACTAATGTTACATTTAAGGTCTAAATTTTTAAATTGCCAATCGATGTTCGCGTAAGATTGGAGGGTCACAATACGTTATAAAATCTTACACCATGTCTCACACCATCCGTGTACTAGTTCGTGGAGGGTTTGTGATCCGTTGAGTAGACGATGTCATCAGAAGAAAAGAAAACTTGAAACCAGTTATATTGCACTGTCAGTCGACGGACGAAGTTATCGAAAGTATTAAGGAAAGAACAGGTAAGCAGGTGACCGCTGCTGATGTCAAAAATATGAAAGCTGAACTCTCCATGGTAAGTGTATATAAATATTATTTTCAGGTGGGACTGTATTACCGAGACGGA